AGACACCTGTCTTTTCAAACCAAGACAAAGGTCTAAGGAATATGAAGGGCAGACATAAAGCTAAGAAGGTAACTTCTATCTTTTCCAGTACTGCCAGGATTCAGTGATATATTTCATTATGAACTTGGTTTCAAATTGCAGTCTTCCTCCTGGTTCATTGCTTCTGTGCGTGACCCTTATTTCAATAATCTAATTTCCTCCCCAGATCAGAGCATCAATTCTGGGGGAAGGGCCAGATGCCTAGCAAAGAAACAACACCGCAAGCCAGACCATCAGCATTTCCACACAACTCCATTCACATCAGACAATGGAGACTACCCAAAGCATGCCTGAAGGAGAGGACAGATATAAGGAACAAAATTTAAGTGTGGTTTACAGTTCCACTGTTAAGCCTTTAACTCTTAGTAATCTGCCACTTTGAATTCCCCCAGTAACCCCTTTGGTGGCAGTGCCCATGGCAAGGTGGAGATCGGCACTATGAGATTTAAGCAGGTGACTCAAAATGCTTAGGAGGTCTGCGGGATCAGTTCGGAGATCTCAGGGGCAGCCCCAGAATTGTCTGGGCAGGAAGCTCGGGACAGGTTTAAACTACTAATTCTAAGCCACTCGTCAGCATAAATCTGAAGCGCATACACAGTCACCGGCTTGGAAAAAGCAATTTTCTTCTCTGAAACTGGTAAGAAAGAAATACCCTGTGTTTGTACAGGTTAAACCCTGTAGGCTGACATAACATTCCAGACGTCTTTAAAACACATCACAAAGCAGACTGCTGCTGTGGACTGTGAATGTGAAATCTACTGTAGCTTGGCGGTGATTCCGCAGGCTGTCCAGAAGTCAGGACCTTAAATCCTACCAACAGTCTGTCACAGATGGTATGGCAGAGGGGAAAAAAGGGATTCTGAAATGCTGAGAGAAAAAGTAGGCCACGTAGCTGCTAATCATGATAGAGTTGCCTGGATAGCAAAACTTTACATCTAACATATGCTGCAACTCAATATTCCCCAGCAAGTCAGAGGCCTCCACGAATTACTGTTAAATTTGGCAAATGCTGTGTGGTTCATTTTCCACTACTAACATGGGAGACTGCGTTAAGAACATGGTCAGGACACCTCCTCAGGGATGCTGTAGATTCACAGAATAGCGCATCTATGGAGAAGATGCGAACATACTACAAAGACACGCTAACGTTATGCAAGTGAACAGCTTCCACCTGCCCCATTTGTGTCAGCTAGCTTAGCTCATTTTACCTTAACCTCCTGTCTCTCTCGACCACAACTGCATCCTCTATGTTTGTCCAGTGTATTAAAGAAATGAAACAAACTCAGGCACACCCTCTTGGAGAGGCCTCTTTACAACAGGTAAAGCTAGGTAACAGTCTACAACCATTTCTGGGCTTAAAATCAAATTGTACTAATTGCAAAGTACAAGCCTTAATTTGCTACAGTTTATACAGAGTTCTTTAAATGTAACAGTTTCTATTCCTTGTGTCTTTGTCTGCGTATGTTTTACACCACCTACTGACGTTAACACTGTTTCCAAGTCACCCATCTCTGAGTGTGACACCCATGTGTTTGGCCATTTGTCAGCACGTCTACACCGCTCAATGGAGCGGATACCCCAAAGTGCCCCCACGAAGGCTACTAACAAACAAAAGGAGCATAGCACAGTCACCATGCCAGGACAGCTCTTGTGTTTGGGAGGGAGGCTAGCCTGAGTGTATGAGCTGTTCTTCCCTCTTGTCTGCAGACTGACTTCCTTCCCCTCCTGCACAAGGTACAGCTACTTCTCACAGCTCACTGACCTCAGCTGTGAGGTCAAACACTCTCATTCAGCTGAAAATTACACCATTTTTCATGTTAGTATTTCTGGTGCAATACTATATAAATTTTTTTTAGGAAGTCCCCTGCTAAATGGACAGATCCCAAACCTTCACTTCACATCAGCTGTCACGGTCACCTCCTCAGACTCTCAGGATCTACCAGGCATAATGTGGGCACTCCAAACCTGTGCAGGTGGCTCTAGGGAATTGCTAGTGCTATTCAAGAGCATATATTATTTCACCCTTAATCAAAGGCCCTAGTTATTTTCTACATACACATTTACAATATCTAATTGAGAGGTATCTCAGCTCCTCCTCCTTCCCTTGATCACATTAGCTTTCCATCTAACCTTAAGACCCTACTGTAGAGAAGCAGCAAATTAAAGGAAAATTATACTAAATCCTAAAGTAACTCTACTTGGACCTTCCTGGCCTCTGCATGCTTCCCAAGAATGTTGGTCAATACCTTGGCTTTAAAAATAAAATTCCACTAACTCACTATTTTAAGCTCTTACGATGCCAGAGACATGTCATAATTCACTGGGCAGAAAGCTTCCCACAGGCATTTAAATATTGAAAATTGTCATGTACCAGATATGGTCCCTTCCGTGCTTTTTCAGCAGGTGGTGTATGACCCAGACAGAGAGATCACAGCCAGAAAAGTCTTACCTTTGATGATCTCTCGGGAGCCAGCTTGGGAGCCTTTATGGGTAAGGTTAGTTAGATCAAATCTAAAGCTATTTTACTCCACATAACTGGCCTATGGCAGTTGTCGTAAAAAGAGACAGTAGAAGTTCAGCCACAGGTCTCTTTGCCAGGCTGGCTTTAAGGTTTAATCATTAGGTTTCCTCCAGAATAACTGTTTTCGTTTACAAGGTAGCTGAAATGCCAGAAAAAAGTACTTCATGAGACAGCAATTTGTCTCAAACACATAGAATGACCACGTTGGTCTCTTTGCGCATTTTCTAATTAAGTTAATGGAAAGCCAAGTTACACGGATCTCTAAGGAGATAACAATTTAGAAAATGTGAATTGATAGAAAGTTGTTGATGCTATTTGGTTGCCTAAGAACTCTGTGGGACTGTTCCGTATATCTATTCTGTGGGCTGTCTGTACCACAGGGTTTGAAATGCCTGTAATTTAGCAGCTCTACCCCAAGAGCAGTTTTTTTTTCCAAGAGACTATTCTAACAATCTATCACCTTCTAGACAGGTGATATTTGGAGCCAGGTTGGAATCCTGCATTCCTTTACACAAATAAGCTGTACTGTTCCATAAGCATCAGAAGCATAATATTCAAAGAAACAGATGTGCTTCTACAGCTCTATGCAAGTTCCACGTATTTTCCTATCGTTTCACTACACAGGCATCTGCAAGCAGCTTTCAGTGCCAAGATGGTATCCCTCACTATGAACAGCCCTCTTTGCACAGTAGTAGGAAGAACAGTACGCCAAGTGTGTAATGAAGGAAGGTTTCCTCCTATTTTAAGTGCCATGTTGAAGGTGCATTTGGCATCGTCCCATTTCCAGCCTTAAAGAGGAATACGTAAAACTTAATCACTGGACCAGAAGAACATAGCTTTAAAAGCCCACTGTTTGCCATAAAAAAAATCCTTGTGTCCTTAAAATTACTTTAGATGAGACCCAAAGGAGCACATGGGCTACATGAACACCATTGGTGGGGTAGGTGAAAAGTATCCATAAAATGAACAGTCTGGGTTAATTTGCTATGGAAAAAAAAGTTCACAGTAGTCTGAAGGTCAAATGGAATGAAAACACGTTTTTAATCTTCTTATCTACTTATAAATCACTGATATTTTAGGTCCACTGAAGTCACTTATAGAGATTTTCACATAGCAAGCTGGCATGCCTGTTATGTACTGACCTAAATTTACCTTCCATAAAATTGTGAATTCCTAGAATAGTATTTTACATGTAGAGACACCAGCATCTGGGCCTGCTATAACGTAAACCATGGTACAGCAAGTTTACAGGAAAATTCTGGTGGTTGAGAGACATCTATCAACAGTTCTTCAATACTGCTACGTTTCCTCCAATAGATCCCTACCTAGCATATGTAAGATGTAGGCAGATAACCCACTAAAGTCTCTGCTGAACTGAAGAAACAAGTAAGCCCCCTCTCTCATCCCAATTTTGGGATCAACTCCTTTCATTCTTTAGTGCATACTGACTTAGTGTTTTTTCCCCAGCTACAAGCCTAGGTCCTTCTTGCACACACATGGCCAGAAAGGTGCCTGTTCAGTGAGGAATATGAAATGCTCCTGTAGTCTGCTCGACCTATTCTGACTGCTGCTAACGAACGGCATCTCAAGCTGGGTGACTTGCCGTTTCTTCCTTTACATACGAATTTCTTTTGCACCAACCTGTTTTCTTAACTAGCACAGAGTATGCAATCTGGAGAAAGCAAAGACCAAAACTTACCATCCGATTCGGAGGCTGCTCTGAAAATCAAGTAGCTGCTGGGAAGAGGCTGAGTGATCGAACCAACATTTTCTCCCTTTGGGCCCTGGAAATGCACACAGACAAAAAGACGTAAAGCTCAGAAGAAGCAATGCACTGTTCAATGTCTTTCTACCCTTCCTGGGCAGAGTGTGTATGTTTGTGAGAGGAAAGAAGGAAGGAGCAGATGGAGTAATTTAGAGAGACTCATTAGTAATCACAGTATTGCTGCTGCAGCTTCAAAGCAGTAATGAGCTCTGACATAAATGGGGCCTGGTCTAACCTATGCTCAGCCCAAAACCTACACTGTTTATTCAGATACCTCATTCCTGCCACTTGGAACAAAACCAGTCAAATATTTGCTATCAGCCACCTTTGTGCAAGGCCTGAATGGACTGTCCCACACGGTGCACGTCGTGTCTGTCTGCAGTCTGACACACTAGGCATGAAACACTCTTTATGTGTAACCATACAAGTGGCAGAGCCCACCCCTTGTGCTGTGAGTGCCTCTAGCAGAGAGGCAATGGCAGCCTTTCTGGGAGGAAACAAAGGGGAAACTCCATCCTGCAATCCTCTGTGGGAAAGGAGGAGACAGGGAAAACCACAGGCTGAGGACCAAAGGTCTCCCAACACGGGCACAGGCTGCTGGGCTGCAAGCCTTCACCTCTACCTCCAGACCCTTTGAGAACCTTTATGCTGCAGTGCCTGGCACGACGGCCACTTCAGGCTTTAACAAAAACAGGCTTTGCTTGTTTATGTTGCCTTTATTTTAGGAGCTGTGGCCAAAAAGATTATAGTGTCTTGTAAACATCCTCCCACAATCCCTTCAGCATGACCCTCCTGAAATGATTCCCAAGGTGGCTGCATCCATCTTGGATTAGACACTTCTTTGAGCAGAAGCACAGGCTCCCACCTTGATCTCCTCCCTGTTTTCTCCTCTCTTGAGTTCCAGAAGCTGCTAAGAAAAAGCAGTTCCTGTACCTGGTGAGCACAGCTTCACACTCTCCATGGTATGGACTTTATGCCATGACCTGAACGAAATAAGTAGGAGTCCCTCCTCCGCCCTCGCATTCCTAAAGTGACCCAGCCTCCTCCTGTTCCTTCTCTTCCACACTTAGTAACAAACAACATGAAAGTAGGTCCTTTTTCAAAAATGCAGATGTTATGTCAGAAATAAATGCAGAGCAGAAAACATCACCAATATTCCCATGACCACTACACCAACTGCAGGGTGGAACAAGCAGTTTTCTCCAGGATGCTCAAAAACAGATTTCCTTGAGCTTCTAGAGAATACCACACAATGCTGAAAATCTGTAAGTAAATTTTTGCAGTAATTTTGAGTATGACTCTCCTCCCTTATATGGGCCGTTGCAGTATCCCATCCTGCTCCTTGAAAGAAGGACTTCTCCCTAGCATTAGTTTGTAAGCAAGGAAAATGTGACTGCTACTGAAAACTGCTCCTGTACACAAGCGTCTGGTAGTTAAATGGTAAGTTTATCTCGATGTTTGGTTTTGAGCTCAGGAATTTGGAAAGATTGAAGAGTGCAAGCACAGGGACGAGCACCAAACTGTATCTGAGTGTATGCCACGAAGAGGCAGTACTGAGAAGACAATGGTCTCCAGTCTAGCTTCTTGTCTTCACATCTGTGCGGTCCTGCTGCTGCCAGGAGAAACTGGGATCCTTGTCACTTGCTTCTTTTTCCCCTCCCCTCTCCCACAAGAGGTTCACAAAATAAAGACTGTTTAAAGGCTTAACAGTCAGGACTGGCAAAGTTGAGATTTGATTAGTAAACCAGAGCAAAGCAGCTGAAGACATTACTAGTGACATGAATGCAATGAGGCATCATTCCCAATGGCATTTTTCAGTAGCTTGCAGCTGAGCAGGGTGTTTGAGAACTGTTGATAACGCCATTACTTGTGTTTTCAGTGCAGAGGTTGGTATTTGCTCGGTTGGAGGAAAAACCCCACAACCAAACAGTTCAGATCCAGAGAACTGTTACTAAAAAAAAGGGGAAGAAGGGAAGGAGGGGATAACACACATTTAGGCATGTGGATAAACACAAGGAGCAGCCAGGTCACTGTCAAGGAAACGTATTCAATAGCAAGGCATGCTCATACATGGAGGGGGCTGTTTCCCACAGAAAGAAGAAAAGAAGAAGAAAAGAGAAGCCATAAAAATACAGTCAACATCTCCACAGAGTAAATGAAGTTCTGTATCTGCACAGCAGAGAGAATGATGCTTTCTGTCTCCCAGCCTTTGAGCATCATGCCTGTTTAAAGTCTAAGACCTCCAAGACAACGACCATCTCTCACCAAAAGCAAGTGTTATCCCTGCCACACTAGGACCCAGAGCTCAGCTGCAGCCTCTAGATGGTACAACTAAGAAAGGATCACCTTCAGGTCATTCCCTGCCTTTACATTCGATTTGAGACTCAAAAGGCATTATCGAACAGGGGGTGATTAGGCTTTGAAAAATGGAGTGGACTCATGCTGTTTTAGATAGTATGACAAGACATCTCGTCTTGGGGAGTCACAACAAAGCCTAAAAAAGGGGGAAAAATCCCTTTCATTAACAGTACTGTGAATAACTGTTAAGGCTGAAGATGAAACTAACTGTGTTGTATGATGGAGTAGGACAAACAACTGCAAAAGCAGCAGCACAGGCACGTTACTAGAACTTTTTTCTCTAAAGGAATGACTGAAAGTTCTTAAAATCAACAGAATTCAAATTTTATATATTCCCAGATTCAGTGAGTCTGACCCCAACTCATCTAGCACTCTAAAAAAATGTCAGAACAAGCTGCAGTCGATAACTGCCTTCCCACACCATGCTGTTCAGCTAGCTTCTAAGCAAGCTCAAAGGGAAATACGAGCTATTCCAGGACATTTTTTTGGACAGTTGGGCAAACCCTGCCAGCTGATAGCCCTACAGTCCCTCTGTGAAGCAAGAGGACAGACACCCACACCCTCACACTAATTACTAGGTTGGCATTCCCCAGTCTCCTGCAGTTATCTCGGCAAAACATCTCTTCCCTGAAGCAGCGTGGGATCACGCTGCGTTCACACGACGGACAGAGTGCCTCTGCAGCAGTGCTCGCAGCACGCGGGGGAAGCTTCTCTTACTGCTGCTAGGACTGCTGACTGATTTTGAGACCTCGGTGGTTTTCACCTTGGGTTTACAAGGCCTGGGCAGAGCAAATAGGTAAAAGGTCTAATCCATTTGCACTGTGAAGGAGTTTCAGGCTAAAACTCTCAAAAAGCCAGGGAAGCAGTGCAGAGTAAAGGACTCTCGCACCTCAGCAATATGCTTCTAAGATAGCTCTAGCCACCAGAGAGCTTTACAGGAAAAACAGTTCCCTGATGCATAGATTTAGCTTTCAACTGTAAGTAATGGTCTTACATCTTACCTACCCACCATTTGAAAGGTGCCCCAAAACTTCCTCCTGTTCTAACTGAAGTTAAATGCCTGCACACCAAAGTGAATTGGCTAGCTGGACTGTGAACGCCTCGGGCAGCGCTTGGTCCAGACATTTGCTCCAAGGCTGAAGCCCGCAGTTAGGGCCAAACATCTGCTGACCGGCCAATATGCACAGAGGTGCTCATTAACTACCCTGAGTTAGCTGCAAGTCCACTGATGTGAGTCAAAGCTGAAAATCTTTGAAAACGTCACAAGCCATTTTAGCCCAAAGTGAAAGTGGTTTAGCCAGATCTCATTTCTGTTGTGAGGGACAGTAACTTGGGCTTTTGCTTAAGCTCAGGCTAATCTACATTTCACGAGAAAGAGGCTTTCTTTGCACAGTTATACATAACCAATTTAGATCAGTCAATTCTGCTCCAGTTGCTTTAAAAGAAGGCCATGAAATGACATAAAATGAAATTGTATTTTTAGCAGTTTGAGCCTTAAACTGTTGTCAGAGCGCAGACAGCTTCTTTGACATCAAGCAGTTGGATCTCTTCTTGGTGCGTATTTTGCTGCTCACCTTGTGGCTGAAAGCATCTATCACACATAACCATCCAGGCTGAGCTCAGGTTTCAGGAAAAAGCCTACCATGCAGCTCAAATGTATCTTTCTAAATATCTGTCTCAAGTGACTTAGAATATTACTTTGACTTTAAAATTCGAATCTCTTGGGACTTCCTCTAGTACATAAACGTTTTCAGAGATATATTCCCTTCATATTTAATATACCAATTCCTACTTCTGTCATATATTTTCTCAAGAGACACAAGAATTAGCTATACATACACATGCAAAAATACATATATATATTGATAAAAACTCCTCTTTCTTTTGGATGATTCATATCAAGCGAAGGGCATTCTACCACAACACTTCCAATCTGTCAGCAACACTACTTTTCAGTACCTGACTGCACTTTTGATTCTGCTTTTTCACGACCTCTCCTGACTGTGCTTTTCAGAAGAATTCAGTTGACCTGTCAAGTCACACAGAATTTTTTTGCTGATGGACAGCAAATGATCAACAACATTCCTGGGTGCATGCTCTGAATTAAAAAAGCATCAAAACTCTCAAAAGCGAGTAAGAAGCAAGATAGCGATGAATTCTTTGGGGTTTAAAGCAAAAGCAATGCCTCTAGGCACAGATAAGAGTTGAGCTACCATCAGAAACAGCAGCTCTTACCCCTGGTTGTTGAGGTTAATTTTAATTTTCTCCTCCTACCTTATTAAAAATTGCAAGACTTTTTATAGTGATGGTATAGCTGTGTTTTAAAACTGTTCAATTAACTGCAGGGATGAGCAGGAGGGAGCCTGCTTGATCTGCTCCCGCAGGGCTTCCCCTCCATTTTGTTAGATCTTCTGATGCCAGTGACAAACGCCTTTGTTGCTCTCGCATGAGTCTTTCCAAGCAGATTTACTCTGCTGACCGCCTTGCAGCAAGGCACTAGCTTGTAAGGCCTTGCTTACACTGGTGATGTCTCCTGGAGAATTTATGTCTGCAATAACTCTGCCGAGTCACTGGTTTTAATGGGGAAAGAAGAGCTCAAGAACATTTAAGTTTTGCCTTCAGGGTATCCAACAGATGTGGCTCTCGGCGTCTCTCAGGAGGTACTGGGGTCTTCCCCTTGGCTTATAGGCATTAGGTAATTTTTTTCTTTTTGCCTATTCTTAAAGGAAAGAAGGAAAAGAAATGCAGCTCTTTAAAATTTGCAGGGAGTTATTTTAAGAAGTGTGAGAAACTAATAATCATTTGCATTACAGGGAGATCCAGAGGTCACTGCAGGAGCTACTGTGTGTACAGGAAGAGACTGTCTCAGCCTGTGAGACAACAGACTGAAGCATAACTCAAACTGAAGGGCATAAAACCTGGCTATTTCCATTTCAAAGAAGAGAAACTTAAGGCAACCGATCCAAAGTCACACTCTTGTGGAACAGTCAAGGCTTGAGCAGCCCCCTGAGTTCCAAGTCCATTAGAAAAAAAAAGTCAAACTATTTGTTTTTTATCACTTTGCCAGCCCTCTTTCAGTGTTGTGCAAAGCATCTGATGATTTGTGTGTCCTTCTTTTGGGGAAGTCATTTAATTTGGTCTATTCCTCATCTCTTTTTAAAGATATAGCTTCTAGGTATTGATTTTTTTTTCCTGCGCTAACGTGTAGGAAATTTACCTTCCTTTTCTCAGTCTATGCAGGTATATACACACCAAGAATGACACATTTGTATAACTAATCACAATGCACCACGTTCCTTTGATGTCATATCACAACCAAGCTTCAGTGTATTTAATCTTTTTATACAGTCAGTTCACCATCACTAACAGCAAATCTAGATAATATCAATGCTAGATAATACTAGTGCTCAGACATTCTGGTGACCAAGAAGAGGTTGTTCGACTCATCAGGATTGTTACCTTTACAGCCCAGATTGATTGATCCAAAGGATGAAAAAGTTTAAAACAGAAGCCATCCTTTTTGGAGGGTCTCTCAATCAGCTCACAAGAATGGAGCAAGATTGTCCCAACCCACTGTCCGATCTTTGGCGTCTTATAAATCAGCAGCACTCCTGGTTTCAGAACACACCACAGCTTGGTCCAACTCTTCAGAGTCCCACGAATCTGGATGGAAGCAGGGACAGAACAAAAAGTTGCTCCTTAAAGGAAAACCAGCATTTATTCAGTATTTACACAGTATTTCCAGTATGTGTTTCTCCCAAGGCCAGACTACGATACACTTCCGTAGGAAAACACACTGTGCTATCTGAACAGTCTTAGGGATCCCATAGCAAAATCTCAGACCTTGTAAATCTGGCTATCAGAATCTAGTCTTCATATTTTTATTACTGGCTTAGTGTTAGCAGCTTGCTTAATTTTTTAGGCAACCAGCACTGCTGGCCTAAGTATGAGTGACTTGATAATAATCATGCCGATTAGAACATGGCATAGAAAAATGTTACAGCTAGCCTAACCTGACTTATAAGTCATTTTAGTAGTGTTCTGCAGCACAGAGCTATTAATGGGTTTTGTCAAATACCCCATTTTTAAAAGCACCTTCTCCAGCTGGTTTACTTCTCTGTCACGCTCAACGCATACTCTCTCTTGTACAGAAGACATTAAATCTGATAGTGTATATTAAAGATAACAGCTTTAAGAATGGGGAAGTTTCTCAGTAAGGTTAGATTTTGCCTAAGGTCTTCTTGTCTTCAATAGGCCAAACCTCAAGTCTTATGTCAGT